TGAATCATATTTTCCAAAAAACTTGTCCTAACTCGGGAGGACGGATAATTGAGCAAGGTTTCAATAAGTGAGACAACACCTGAATCCCGAATGAAATCTCGGGTAAATTGAGAAGCACTTCTCATACCCATTGCAATTTTAGATATTTCATGAATAAAAGGGTCTCGAATTTTGTCCATTAATAGAAGGAGTTCTTCAAACTCTCCAGCACCAATTTTAAGCTCACACTGTATGCAGCTGCAGGACCAACTCTCAGGCTCTGCACTCTCCCTGGCCCTAAGATGCTCCCGAATTTCCCTGACTGACCGGTAGGAAGGATCGTACTGAGATGGGAACTCAGGCTCAGGCTGATCAGGCTGAAGCAAACATTCCTGCTCTTCCCCTTCTAGAGTCTGTTTCATGTTCCTGCGCTTTCCTCCAAACATTTCAGAGAACAGAGATGCTGCTTCTTTTGGAAATCTAAAGGGGCTTGAGAATGGAAAGCCAATCCTACCCCACGGACCAGGCCTGAACTGAACAGTGACCTCCTCCCAGCTCTGGGGCCTGCATGAAGCATCAGGCTCCTGCTCAGTTGAATACCTGGACCTGCAAATGGCCCTGAACACAGGGCTAGGATTTGATTCAAAATTGGCCTCATCTTCTGCCCAGAACCAGGACCCCACTACGGCCTCATCTTCCTCAGCTACTGTCTTGGACTCATAGTTTGTTCCACTGCCAGTCCTGTTATTGGCCTCATCTTTAGCTCCAAACCAAGACCCAACAACTGCCCCTTCCTCCTTTTCTGGCCTGGACTCACAGGTGGCCCCAGTTCCAGTTTTGTTAACGGCCTTGTCTCCAGACCAGAACCAGGACTCAACAATCATCTCTTCATCTTCTGGCTTGGATGCACAGTATGTCTCTGCTTCTACAATGACTTCTTTTGCAGCCCAGAACCAGGATCCAAAAATAGTTTCCTCTTCAGTCTTTGATCTGGTGTCTTCTATTGCTTGAGGCCCAACCTCTATACTGTCTTCTTCAGCCCAGAACCAAGACCCAACAATGATTTCCTCCACCTCAGTCCCAGGCTTGGACTCAAAACTGGCCCCTGCCTCCAGACTGGCCTCTTCTTCAGCCCAGAACCAGGACCCAACAATGACTTCCTCCTCTTCAGCTTCTGGACTGGATTTGTTGCAAAAACCAGGCTCCTTTTTAAAAGCCTCTTCCCTGGCCCAGAACCAAGACCCAACAATAGCTTCCTCTTCAACTGCCAGCCTGTCCTCTTCTCTAGCCTCAGCTGCTGTTTCCAGCTTGTCCTCTTCCCCAGCCCAGAACCAAGAACCAATAATGCCCTCCTCCTCAGCATATGGCCTGGATTCTTCTCTGTCTGTAGCCTCTATAATAGGTTCATCCCCTTTCCAGAACCAGGACGTAATCATGGTCTCTTCCTTGGTCAGTGGCTTGGTCTCTTTTCCAGTCTCATCATCTATACTATCCTCTTCTGCAGCCCATAACCAGGGTCCTGTAATGGCCTCTGGCCTTGTGTATTTTCTGGACCAGAACCATGAATCAACAGTGTCCTGTTCCTCCTCTGGCCTAGATTTCCAGCTGCCTCCACTGGCAGGATACATACAGGGATTTTCTTCTGCCCAGAAGCAAGACTCAATATTGATCTCTTCAGCCTCTGCCATAAACGTGCATCTAGTACCAGCCCCATACTTCATACTGACCTCTTCTGTAGTCCTAAACCAAGATGATGATATAATAACCTCTTCCTTGTCCTCCAGGCTAGACTTGTTGCTGACTTCTGCCCCCACATAACCTTCTACTCCAGCCCAGAACCATGACCCAATAATAGGTTCTTCCTCGTCAGCCCCTGACATGGTGTCACAGCTGACTTTAGCCCCATAATCCATCTGGCCCTGATTTCCAGCCCAAAACCAGGACCCAAATATTTTCTCTTCTTCAGCTCCTGGACTGGCCTCTTCTCTAAACTCAGCCTCTGTATTGACTTCTCCAGCCCAGAACCAGGGACCAATGACCTCTTCTTCCTCAGACCTTAGCCTGGACCCACAGCTGGCCCCAACACCAGCTTCCACACTGGCCTCATCACTGACCCAAAACCAAGACCCAAAAATGGTCTCTTCCTCAGCCTCTGGGTTGGTCTCTCCACCAGCCCAGAAGCAGGAACCAGCAATGACCTTTGTTTTATCATCTGGTAGCAGAGATTTGGAAATGGCCTCAGCCCCAGTTTCCATACTAGTCTTTTCCCCAAGCCCATGCATGGAATTGCCAATAGGCTCCTCCTCAGTTCTTGGTCTGGATTTACTGCTGACCTCAGTCCCCATATTGGCCTCTTCTTCAGTCCAGAACCAAGTGCCAACAATGGACTCATCCTCCACTTGAGAACCGGACTTGACACTGGCCCCACCCACTATGCTGGATTCTTTTGCAGCCCAGAAACAGGTCCCAATGAGGAACTCCTCCTCCGAGCTGGCTTTTTGCTTGTCCCTGGCTCTGGCCTTGGTTTTGGCCTCTTCCTTTGCCATTGCTTTGGCCCTGGCCTCTTTCTTGGACTTGGGCCTTGACAAGTTATTAGCCTTTTCTCCAGGCCAGAACCAAGGCTCTTTTTTGACTATATCTATAGACCCAGACATGAAATCAACAGAAGCTTCTCGCTTGGCCCTGTGCCTGGCCCTGACATTGGCCCCTTTCCTGGCTCTGGGTTTGGACCTGGATTTGGCCTCTTCTCCAGCCCAGAACCAGGACTTCACATTGTTCTCACATTCAGACCCAGAACTGAACTCAGAGACTTCCTTCTTGGACCTAAACCTAGACCTGCTATTGGTCTCTTCCCTGGGCCTGGACGAGATATTGGTCTTTTCTCTGACCCAGAACAAGGATGTCTTAACAGATTCATCCTCAGAACTAGAACTGGACACAATATAGCGCGCCTGATTGGTTTTCGGCCTAGACAAGGCCTCTTTTTTGGCCATGTGCCTGGACCTGGTATTGGCCTTTACCCTGTCCCTAGGATGAAACCTTGTACTAAAATCTTCTCCACTCCAGAACCAGGAACTCATAGAAGATCCATCCACCAATCTGAAATCACAATTGTGACACGCCTCTTGTTTCCATGTAGGCCAGGGACAGCACCATGACCGGATATTGGTCTTCTCTGACCCAAACAAAGGCTGGATTCCTGACTGAGACTTGACCTTGGTGCCAGGAAAGCACTCAGTATCCACATTAATCAATTCCCTATCCATAGACAAAGTCTTAGTTTTAGCAACTGACCCAGACTCAGTACCGACCAGTGCCCAGGCTATGGCACTGGTCTGGGACACTCCCTCTGTCTTCAACATTGCCTCAGCATCAAACACAGTCTGGGCCCGTGAATGGGCTTCATGCATGCGTATTGCACCAGGGATTGCCTTGGCCTCTGTTTTAGGATGTGTCTCACCTTCTGCCATGGCCTCAGTTTTGGGTCTTGCACCAGGCAAAACATGGGTCTCAGTTTTGGGCCTTGCCCCAGCCATTGCCTGGAACTCAGTTTTGGGCCTTGCCCCAAACATAGCCTGGGACTCAGTTTTGGGCCTTGCCCCAAACATAGCGTGGGCCTGGCTCCTAACCTTGGGTCTGACCACCAGTGGGACTTCATTCTCTCTCTCAGCCCCACCCCCAACCTCTTCTCCAGGCTTCTTTTCAGGCTTAGCCTGGGCGCCAGGCTCAATCTCGGCCCCAGTCATAGTACAAGTTACAGAAGAGACTCAGGTAAATACTCCTACCCCAGTCTCAGCCTCTACCACAGGATCTGTCACAGTTTTTTATCTTCACACTCTGATCCTTCAGTGATTCAGGAGGCGATAGAGTTGGAAACAAGAGTTAAAGTCAATCGCCAGTCCAGCAGTCAATCAGCCTCCTTCTCAAACACAACCTCAGCCAATATTACAGAGTGCAGCAGAAGCACAACCAAGCTGGGGGAGGATGGATGGTTCTCAGGTGGGTGCAGACCTGTAGACGGTGGTGGTCAGCAGCAGTTCCAACACCACCAGAGCTGCCACTGGAGGTGGATGGATCTAGGAAGAAAGAATGTCATGGGACTTTGAGTCTCTTTCAATTGTGTCGCTCCACGCAGAGACTCACAGAGACTGGACTTTGAACACTTGGTGAGACACTCAGATTATTAGAAAGTCTTTCTGTCACCGTCATTTCGCCCACACTCTTCGCCCCCAGAGCTGCCACAGTACTTTGCCTGCTACAAAACAGGTGTAAGGTTGGTGGGAAAGTGTGTTGGCAATGGGAGAGGCTGGGAACCCCCAGACTAGAACCTAATCACTCTTTGGTCTGTGTTGGTCTCCACTCCCAGCCCAAGTTGTACCCACTCTCATACCAACCTGCACTGATGGGGTGCAATTTCCCCTCCTTGCTTTGTTCCAGTGGAATTAAGCCCTATAGCAGACAGCAGGCCATCCTACAGACAACATACAGGAGAAAATGGAGTCTGAATGCTTGGCATTCAGGCAGACACCCTGACCCCTGATGTAAACATCTCTCTTTCTGTTTAAGGGTCCAATTTGCCTAACGTTCGTTACGTGTCTCCTGGTCCCTGTTCCCAAGTCTTCTCCTCCCATTCACAGCCCAATCCACAACTACCCCAATATTCCTAATAGCTCCTGCAGGAAATGGACAAGGGATGCTGCAGCACTGTGCAAATCTGGCAAAGAGTAGAACAGGAGAATCAAAGACACCCAGTTGAATCAAAGATATCTGCCATGATCTTACTCTGTAGCTGTCCCCTGCATTGCCCTTCTTCACACCAACCTCCAGAGATTTGAACCAGTCTCTTCCTCCTTTCCTTCCCTGCAGAGGTGATCAGCCTTAAAGCAGGCCTACGGACAAACAGACAAAAATGTAAGGCAGTCAGGAGACATGGCAGCAACTGAGTGCTTGGTGGACAAACCAACACCAAGCATGGAAGTCCACATATTATTTGTGTTTCAACATTTACAGTCCACTTGGTAGAATATTCTCGTTTCATTTAGGCTCTCTGTTGCAGGGTTCTAGAAAATGACATCTCTTGACATCACACTGTTCCCATTGCTCACTCTCCAATTCTGAGGATTCACCACTAGGTGCACTACATCCCTTCGCCTTGCGCAGCATAAATTGGGGGAATGGCGCCCGCATATTCTAGAAAACAGGTTGTGCAGTGGTATTTGTAATTACGAGTTCTGTCTCACTCTCACCTCCAAGCCCATCTTTTCCTGCCCCCAATTTTGGGTGGCGGTGATGGAAGAAAGCGAGGGAAGTGCCTAGAAAGCTGGTAGAGAGGAAAATTTGAGGAGGTACTCCTGGATGCCTGACCTGCTCTGGTCGCAGTCAGCCCACCCCCATTCGGCTCTCCAGTCAATGGCGGCTGCCCACCCCCCATCCCCACACACCTCCAGAAATCCAGGCAACTTTCCTGCTCCTCCTTGCTCGCAAGTGTCTGCTCTACAGATGCACCCTGCAGCCTGAAGTCGCCAGACCTACCGCGCAGACAGGAGACTTCGGCATTAACGAGGCGCCTGTGGGAAGGGACAGCACCCAGGACGCGGGGCCCAACAGGACCCTTTCCAGATTCAGGACCCAGAGCAGCCCACACCACTGTCCCGCTCCGCCGGCTCGGCGCAGAGCTCGGACGCCGCCCCCGCCCCGCCGGCCTCCACGGGCGCCCCCCGACCCAACTCTCGCTCCGCTCCGCCATTTCTCCCGCAGCAGCCTCCCCCACAGCCCTCTCCCAGCACAGACACCGTCGAGGGCGGGGCGCGATTCGCCTCCAGAGGATCCGCGGGAGTCTCTCGGGCCAGCCCCTGCGCCCTGGCCCCGGCCCGCGCCGGTCGCCGCCTCCTCAGCGCCAGGGGTCCCCCGGCGCTGCGCACCTCTCTCAGCGACCGGCTCCGACTGGCTCGTCTCCTCCTTGCCAGGCTGCCAGGGTCTGGAGGGCGGGCTGGAAGCCGGTCGACAGTGGGGGACCACCCCCGCGCCCCCCACGACACCCCCACTTGCCTCTCTAGGCTCAGGGCCCAGGTCGTCGGCCTCCCCCTCCTCTCGGAGCTCCTCACT